ATATTGAAGTCTGTATGAAATTGGAGGTAGTTTGAGGATTAAATTTTTATGCTTTTTAAGCTCAAAAAGGAGGGTTGTATTATACATGAGATCATATTATACATGAGGTCGTATTATACACGAATAAATATGGTAGTCCACATTGTCCATCTTTGACATCATCATCATCATCATCTTTTTAATGTATTGTCCTCAACCGGTTGAATTCCACTGAACAGCTCCACAAAGTAACCAACCACTGCTGTTGTGCTGTTAAAGTGACTGAAGTAAACACATTCAAATAGATACTTTTTAGGTTGATAGTTTAGGTTTTTAGATACTTATTTAGGTTGATTTCAGTAGGTACCTGTCACTGAATCAGACAGAAAACCATGAGGGATGATTCACACATGGACACTAAAGCCTCAGTTATAGTCGCGCTTTGGTGTGCACACCCTCGCCCGCGGTGTAGGTGTTTATACTTGGCGCTTACGTTGCTGTAGTWTTCTYCAAAAGGACATGCAGCAGTACACTTTATAATCTGTGAAAATGTTGTAAATATGAGGGCAAAAGCTTGATAGACAAACACACTGTGAGTGGTGCACAGCCTTTGCGGAGTTACAAAAATTYGGAGGTGCACGACCACATGCCGGGATGCGCAGGGSTGGGGATGGCACGATTGTGTCAACTATAAACCTAGCTTTATATGTTTCAGTAAAATCAAAAATTTCAAAGTCATACCTGTGTTAAATGCACTACAGAAACCCAATCATTGTTTGTTTAAAAAGTAATAATCTGCTTTTTCAATTGCAGTGTTGGAAACACAAAGTATTACTGCTTTGTATGGAGAGACCATTGTTATACCTTGCAATGGTGGAAACCCACCACCAGAGGATCTGGTGTTCATCAAGTGGATATACGTAAGTAGCTACTGTCACAGGGTTCTTATGGGTGCTTGAAATCCTTGAAAATGCTTGAATTTTGACAAAATGTTTTCAAGGTTTGGAAAGTGCTTGTTAGGAATTTCTGATTTTTTTGTTGTTTAGCTCTGATGCAGGGCTATCCATCAGGCCCACTCACGAGCMCCCCCACCCCACCTGAACTGCAGGTGTCATTGCATTATATTTCTGTATACATTTTACACAACGTTCAAACATTTTCAGAATKAAAAGCTGTACTTTACAGCTTTAAAGTGCTTTTTCTTTGATTATATTCAGCATTTTCTTTCTACTGATTTTCTTAAAGGGGCAATATCATGTAAAACCAACTTTTTTGAGTTTTATATCATGTTATAATGTTATACTCTCATAA